CTTTCTTTCTTTCTTTCTTTCTTTCTTTCTTTCTTTCTTTCTTTCTTTCTTTCTTTCTTTCTTTCTTTCTTTCTTTCTTTCTCTCTCTCTCTTTCTTTCTTTCTTTCTCTCTCTCTCTCTCCCTCTCTCTCTCTCTTTCTGTTGGTCATGGGGCTTGAAGTCTGGGCCTAGGTGCTGTCCTTCAGCTTTTCAGCTCAAGGCTAGTGCTCTACCACTTGAGCCACAGCGCCACTTCTGGTTTTCTATGGTTTATTGGAGATAAGAGTCTCATGGACTTTTCCTTCCCCGGGCTGGCTTTGAACTGTATCCTCAGGTCTCAGCCTCCTGAGTAGCTAGGATTATAGGCATGAACCACCAGCACCCAGCCTGCATATATATTCTTATTTGAACTTTTTCTCTGAATCAATTTTCCCTAGGTTGCTTTCTTCCTTGTTCATTTAGTTTTAATCTCTTTTATATTTTAGTCTTTGGTTTTTTTATTTAAATTTAAATTTTATTGTCAAGGTGATACACATAGGGGTTAAAGTTACATAAGTAAGGTAGTGAGTACATTTCTTGTCGAACATGTCTTGTCAATAAGTTGGCTCTTATATAAGAATCGGGAACTAGGCAGATGATAGGCAACTGAGAAAATAGATGACCTATTGGCTACTAGCTTCACTGTAAAGCCCACTTGTCCTGACCATTACCAGGAGCTCCTGGTATTTTCCTTCTTGGAATGTGTTTTCCCATGGGGAATATAAGTAACTTAGTCTCTTGGAAAGTGGAACTTAGCTTTGCTAGGATTAGGAATGCTGATTAGTGCAGTAGGGCTGGAGATCAGCATTCACTGCATAGTCTGTTGATTTATGAAACACATCTTCAATTCTCTTCATTCATCCTCTAACCTAGAGACCATAGTTTTAGCTTCTCTAGAGAATTTTTTGATGTTGTTGATGTATAAGGGGTTTCTAACTTTTCCACTACTATAAGTAATACAGTCCTTATGAGCATGCTTATAAAATAATCTGTATGTTTCTATAAGTAGATTTCCAGAAATAAATTTGTAAAGAAAAGTATTTTTTTTCTTCCAGTACTGGGGCTTAACTCAGGGACTCTCACTTCCTTGGCTTGTTTATTCAACTAATTACCACTTAAGGTATGTTTCTAGTCGTACTGTTTGCTGGTTATTTTGGAGATGAAGTCTAGTGGACTTTTCTAAAAATCCTGTGCTGAGTTCAAAATGCTATCCTCCAGATTCCTGAGTAGCTAGGATTATAACTGTGAGCCACTTACATCTGGTGGTATGTGTATATTTTGAAGCTTATTTGGTATGGCAAAATCATTATTCTCTCTCTCTCTCTCTCACTCTCATTCTCTCCCCCTCCCTCCCCTTCCCCCTCTTTCTTTTTCTCTCTTTCTCTCTCTCCTCCTCTTTCTTTCTTTCTCTCTCTCTCTCTCTTTCTTTTTCTTCCCTTCTTCTGTTCCTGAACTTTTTGCTCAAGGCTTGTGCTCTGCCACTTGGAGCCACAACTCCACTTCTGGTTTTCTGGAGGTTAATTGGAGAGAAGAGTCTCATGGACTTTACTGCCAGGGTTGGCTTTGAACTGTGATCCTCACATCTCAGCCTTCTGAGTAGCTAGGATTACAGCTTTTTTCTTTTTAAAAAATTGTTATTATAAAGATGTATAGAGCACAATGGAATATTATGCAGCCATTAGAAAGGACAAAATAATGGCATTTGCAGGGAATGGATGGAACTAGAAGAAATCATGAGTGCGGTAAGTCAAGAGCAAAGAGGCAAATGGCACATGGTCTCCCTGATAAGTGGATGTCAAATCCAAAATGTAAGGTGATAACAAGACTTGAGAAACAAAGGACCTCCCACTCATCTGGTCTAATCACTACTAAATAATCCCATGCTGCTGATCACACATATGGTATATATGTGCACAACAGAGGGAAACTAGGAGGAGGACACAAAACTAGAGGGAATAAGGGGAAAACATCCAACAGTGGGACCCATCAATGTCCCAACAGTGGGACATTGATCAAAATGAATCAAGCAACTCAATGGCAGTGTGGGGAGGGAGGGAATGAATGGGAAAGAGGGAATAGCTGACACTATAGAAAAGGAAAGGAATGTACACATCACCTGATGTGGAAGAAATAACTGTATTGTCAAAGCCCATAGAATTCACAAACCTTATAGACCACGATAGACAGTTTATCCCATGAAAGTTAGAATGTGTTTGTGGATTTAACTAGGCATCACTATCCCACAATACTGTAAAATTTGTGAAATTATGTAATCAATCACAATACAGAATTTGCAAAAAAAAAGTTGTATAGAAGAGGGATTATAGTTACATAAGTCAGGTAATGAGTACATTTCTTTCTTTCTTTATTTTTTGGTTGGTTGTGGGGCTTGAAATCTGGACTTGGGCGCTGTCCCTCAGCTCTTCAGCTCAAGGCAAGCGCTCTACCGTGTGAGCCACAGCGCAACTTCTGGTTGGAGATAAGAGTCTCATGGACTTTTCTTGCCCGGGCTGGCTTTGAACCGTGATCCTCATATCTCAGCCTCCTGAGTAGCTAGGATTACAGGTGTGAGCCACGGGCATCTGGCTTATGAGTACATATCTTTTTGGACAATGTTACCCCTTCATTCCCAGTTTTTCCCTCTCATACTCACCAACAAGTTGTAGAGTTAATTTTCAACAGAGTTTCTAGTGAGTACCATTGCTTCATTTTTTCATCCATTATCTCAACGTAATATGAATGATTGCATGTATTTATATTCATATTGATTAGCAGTTTATTGAAGTGTACATTTCCTGTTCATGCTGGTGATATGTATTCTCAGTTTTTTTTTTAGCTTTTGCTTATCTAATGGGCAAACATTTGTATTTCATTTATTTGACTTGATTATTAGACTGAAATATGCACTACTGGGATTTGATATTTATATTTGCTCATGTTGCCAAATTCTTCAAATTTGGTTATGGTTTTTGCCTTTCATTTGTGCTTGGTAAGAACAAAGAAAAAATATATTGTCTAAAATTTATTTTTCTATTCATAGTTTTGGACTGTTTTTAATATATTAATTTACATTTTTACTGTCATAACATTTCTATATAACTGCTCATATTTTAATTCTGTTTGCATAATACTATGTGTTTGACAAAATACTTTCATAGAATCTCACAAGAGCTCAGGAGATTTTTTTTAAAGTATTATAGTTTGCATTCAGGACCTTATTCTTGCTTGTTTTTGATCTGCTGATGAATCACATGTCCAACCCTTATTTGCACTTCTTATTTTTGAGATACAGTCTCTCACTTCCTGCTCAGGCACATGCTTGGACTTTGATCACCTACTATAGGCTCGGATAACAAGCATACATCAATCACCATGTCCATTTTCTTTCATAGAGATGGAGTCTTGTAGAATTCACTGCCTGGGCTGGACTTAGAACTGTGATCTTCCCATTCTCAGACTCCCAAGTAGCTAGGATTACAGGTATGAGCCCCTAGTGCCTGGAGGTTGGTTGTATTTTGTAGTTGAGGAAACTAAGCTTGCACTTATGTCTAATGTAATTCCTTTGGTAATATTACAAAAAGCAAGGAATCTCATTTGAGTTTTGGCCCTGCAAAACAATTCACCGTGTCTGTCTTATTAGTTGCAAAAAGATGTTTTGTTTTCCTTTCTTTGTTAGCAGGTAAGATATAAAAGCCAATTACATTCCCAGATAATAACATTATCATTATTATTAATGTAGAAATGAACACAGAAACAGAGCAACAGCTTCTTCATCATGCCAGAAATGGCAATGTTGAAGAGGTAAGACAACTATTAGAAACCATGGAGAAGAATGAAGTGATTGCTGTTATTAATTGCAAAGGTGAGCTTTGAATGTTTGTTTTTTTTAAATGTTTCATGTGTCTTAACTACTTTCTAGAATATTCATCCTTAATCTTGCATACAATAAATTTTTTTTCTGTCATTACAAGGGGTTTCAATACAGGTCTTGGACTTCCTTGCTCTACTGGTATTCAACCACTTCAGCCATGCTTCTAGCTGGTTATTCTGGATATGGAGTCTCATGGTCTTTCTGCTTGGCTGACTTCAAAGTGTAGTACTGTAGATCTTAGCTAGGATTATAGGTGTGAGCTATCAGAGCCAGCATAAATCTGTCTTTTATCTTGGTAAAAGGAGAAGCCTGGTAAGCCTGATGCTAATGTGTGTCACGAAAAAGTAGGTGAATGATGGAGTAGTCAGTTGTGAATTAGGGAATGGGTAGTTTTTGAGTGAATATACACACATACATAGAATGAAGGAGGAACTAAGCCTTCAACTTCTGGAGTACAAGGTTACCCTGTGCCACCTACATGGAAGATGTGTAAAAAAGAAGGGAAAGTAGAAATCTGGACTTGGAAGTCAGTAGCATGTAAACAACATTAAAGGAGTTATATATATGTTTACATATATTTATGTATATATAAATACTATTTATACTATGAAATACTTTTGTAAGTTGACAATAGTAAGTGAACCCCCTCTTAGAGGAAGTTCCAGAGATATTTAATTGAAACCAGAATGCAGGGCTATAGACGCCAGGGAGAACTACGGTCTGTGCTGTCCAATGCTGGCAGGTGATAGAATGAGGTGATCCTGAAAAGTGTCCTTGGGATTTAATGAGCATTTTTCGTGAAAGTTGAGGGCCATGTTAATGACATGGTGGGAGATGAAGCTAGTATGCAATAGGTGGGAAGTTGTTACAGCAGGAATGAGATAGAAAGAGCAAGTAAATAGTGGATGTGAGAAGGGAGGGTGAAGAAGAGGGAAATTAGTAGGGAAAGTTGGTTGTTAGCATATTTTTGCTGGTTATGTGGTAGAGAGCACTTTTCTCCTTCCTGTGAACTACAGAAGGAGGACAACGTTAAGATAGAGGAAAAAAGAAGTGCATGAGGAGACAGAAGGGCTGGAATCTTTTATATGAAGAGGAAAAGATGACAGAAAGCATGTTCATGTAAGTAGGATGGTAGAATGGTTTCCAGGAAACCTGGGGAGTTGTAGGAAAACTTCTGCTTCCTCTGTGAAGCTGAAAGGCACGGTGTGATTGCTAAGGGGTGAAGCGTCTAGGTAAGAAACTTGAGAAGAATAGGAATGCATTGGAATAGCTGTTGAGGGACATGGGAGAAGCATTGCAACCTGGAACTGTAGCACGCCTGCTTAGTTAAAGAATGTAATCCTGAATGTAACCATATGGTGCCATCACTCCTCAAGGTTCTGGTATTTTTCTTCACTATTAATGTGGTTATGATTATGGAGAAACTGAGCTATTGTGTTTATCATTCTCTGGGAGTGTTCTAGACTGTTTTGACAATGATAGAGATGTAAAGCTGTTGATTACAAAATGATGGCATGAAGTCTCAAAGATTGACAGATTTATTGAAGGAGGTGGAGGCAGGACTATGATTAAAGATCTGAGAGGTTGATTAACTTAAAGAAATCTGGGGTAGGGCTGGGAAGGTGGCTCAGTGGTAGAGCGCTTGCCTTACATGCTCGAGGCCCTGGGTTCAATTCCTCAGCACCACATAAGCAGAAAAAAAAAGCTGGAAGTGGCGTTGTGGCTCAAGCGGTAGAGTGCTAGCCTTGAGCTGAAGAGCTGAGGGACAGCGCCCAGGCCCAGAGTTCAGGCCCCACGACTGGACCCAAAAGGAAAAAAAAAAAAAAAGAAATCTGGGGTATACTTGTATGCACAAGCTGGAATGTTGGGAGTTTAGGGAGGAGTGGCTAAGTTCATAGTGGCACTCAAGTTTGGGCTTTGTCAGTGGGCATCTCACATTAGGCAGAAGCACAGTTTTTGAGAAACAAGGGAAGTTAGGAAACAGAATAGCAACACCAATAGACAGTGAGTCTGTCTAGGATACTGGCAGGATTTGTTGTGGGGAGAGTGTGTTACTTAGTTATTTGGTAAGTGGTCAGTCACTAGGAACTACCAGAGACAGCAGAGTTAATATGTGTGGGAGCTGTGGCTCAAAGAATTGTGATGTGACTGGAAAAACTATTGACCAAGACAGTTTTGATATGGAGGTTCTTCCCTTAGCCTCTGTTCAGTTAGGTGCAGTGGGTGTGTGGGAATGGAGGCAGGGTTGATTATCAGGGACACTAGGTTTCTTTTCAGAACAAAAGACAAAAGTAACATTTAGTGAAGTAGATGTGAAATAGAGCTACTGGGATTTATTAATTGTTAATTAAGGGCTCTGTAGGACACTCCTGAGAAGAAACAGATGCAATGGTTTGGGTAAATTGTTGACAGCTGTAGTCTCATGTGGATTTCTGAGGTAGATTTGCTAAACCTGTGGTTGATTCTCAGAGGTAGGTGGCCTGAAAAATTTTGTTCAGAACCTGAAATCTAGGGGCTGAGGGATATGTAGGAGGCAGGTGAGATCCTACAGTGTTAGCCATTAAGCTTCTCCTGGGCTTGGATAATGGGATTGGGTATTTGATAGAGAGGTATTGATATTCATTGTAGCTTGATTAAAATTTTTGGTAATCTTTTGGAGCTTAGTTCTATGGTATAGGGACCTTTATCTATTTTTCAAGATTGAATTATATAGCTTTTTCCCCCCAATAGTCAATTGTGTTATTCCCCTCAGCTCTTTTTCTAAGATCTGATATTTCATTTCATTATTTTTTCTTTTACTGTTTCTGGTTACGTAGTTTGACTTTACCACTCAAGTAAGCCAATATCCTCATTAACAGGGATTTTTTTTTTATCTAAGTCAAAGACTCAATTTTAGCAACTATCTGTAGAGCTAACAGGGTTCCAAATGCTGCAGGAAATACTCTACTGATTGCTTATCTTACATGTTTTTACTTTCCTTGTACTACCCTTGGCTCCCCAGTTCACCTTCCTTCAGTGGTACAGGTTTTCAAAAAGAGTTGGTAGGGCGAAGGATGAAGCTCAGTAGTAGAAAATTTGCCTAGCTGGGGTTTGATCCTTAATACTACAAGAGTTGCTTGTCATTAAATGTTACATGTATGGCAACTTTTACTATATGATGATAAGATGCTTAAAGACTCAGAAGCCTGGAGTCAGCAAACTGCTAGGGATCATTTAGTTTGATAAAATCCAGTCATGTCTGCCTCTGCTCTTTAGGAATGAGGGTGATGGTCAAAAAGGTGGCCCTTAGTTAACCCTAGTACTGCCAAAATGGGGCAGCATCAAAGTTGGATGTAGTCCATTGTACTAATCCATCATACTTGTTATCCTTCTTACTATGTCATGTCTCTTGCCTCTTGTTCAGAGTGCAGTGTGAGGAGCCATTGGCTAATTACTCATGTAGCTTATAGGAGATGTTCAGTTTATTGTAAAGCTGTATAAATAGTGTCTAAAAATTCTTCATCTTATTTTATTTTAGGAAGAAGTAAGTCTAACTTGGGCTGGACACCTCTTCATCTGGCATGCTATTTTGGACATAAACAAGTTGTCCATGATCTGTTGAAGGTCTGCTTATGGGCTTTAATTTTTTTTTTTTTTTTTTT